CATCTACCAAGTCATCTAGTACAACTTGGCCCAGTCGTCCATGGCTACCTCTAGCTCAATACAATAGAACTAAGCATGAAACTTATCCTCAAGTTACTATTAGCCCAACATAGAATTGGACAGCAAATTGAAGTACCATTTGAAGGTCGTTCCCATAATGGAATTGACGAACAACAGTAACTTCAAAAATTCGTTGGCCCCTATTGCATCGCATTGCACAATAAAATGACCAATGTGCTCCACGGTTTACTGACTGTCTTCTCCCAAGAAACTAGCAAACACTGGGATCTTGTATGCGTGAGGATACTCGTATTCTCTTTCCACTCGTCGAGATATGGCTTTCGATATGCTGGGCTTGTCACTCGCCTCATCATGGGGCCGACGTGCTATTGGATTATTTCGTCCAGTTAGTCTTTGTTCATGACCACCAAGGGTGTTGCCAGAAGAACGATTGATGGTTGCCTCCTTTGCCCCCCAAACCCAAGGTTGGGGCCCGCTTCCTCCTAAAAAAGAGGATTGCTATTTCTCTGATGGCTATTTCTCTTGTGGCTATTTCTAGCCTGCTGCACTCTTTGTAGTTGTACATATGGGGAAACACTAATCATGGTGCTTCTATGGGCGATGTCTGTCCCTGGGAAAAACAATGGCTATCTTGTGCCCCCTTGACAGTTCAAACTATCGATTAGTCGCTCTAGTGCTTGTATAATGTGACCATATTCTTCCCTGATCAAATCTCCTAGACCACTGATGAATCTGGAGACTTGTTGAGAGACTTCGAGTGACAAAGCCTTAATTGAGGCTTCCGGCTCTGAGTTAGACCCTTGATTCTCTTGCCCCCCGAGTGGAGGCAATTCCTCTTGTAGATTGGGGATATCAGACAACTTTTTTCAATAACCTCATGCACTATAGGCACTTCAGATGAGTCAATTTTATCCTTTCCATGGGTGTTTGCCATTTGACTCCATAGAGTCCCATTAGGCGTGCCAAAGAATATGTTTGAAGTATATTCGGATTACGAGCGTGCCAAAGACTGATTGGACTTAAAATTCAAATGCGTACGACCTTACTTGCTAGAACCGGTGTGAGATTTTAAAATTGTAACTGTTCAAATAATTGTAGCAAGATATAAAGCTACCTTTGAGTTCTTTTCTATGCCTTATGATTCAAGAACTTTAAATAATTTCTCAATTAATAGCAAAATGGACTGAAACATAAGAAAGACCAGTGAAATGCAAAACAGCAAGTAAATTAAATTCAGAAGATGAAACAAGTATTGTACTAAACATTAAATGAAAGCAGTAAATGATCACTGCATTGATAGATTACAAGAAAAATAAAGTTGCTCGGGAGCAAGAATAAGTGAGTATAAGGTAGGCTTTGTGTAGAGTTTGTTGGGTTTGATTGTGAGATCCTTTCTCAATGCCCTAGCCTTTGTTATTTATAGGGATGACCTTCAATCGTTGAAGCCATCTTTTCTGGCTATTACTATAATCATAGCCTTTACTCTCGAGATGTGTGGACGTGCACTGAACTGTCTCCAACTCCTGGCTCATGATGTCATGTCTCCATATTTTTCAAGATTCTTAAAGTCCTACTCGTCTAACCGTTCGGTCAATTGTGGACTCTTATAAACTTCTGCTTAACCGTTGAATCTCTTCCACATGTCACCCTCTGATTTTGCTATTTTTTTATGTAAGCCCTCTCTTAATATTTTGTTAATTTTACAACAAAAGATATGAAAATTTTCGGAATGTATTACGTTACTCTCTAACCATCGGTTCTATTTGGAGAGGTGATAGCTTATGGCAGTTAATGTCCTGGATCTGGGTTATGTGGGTTTCGAAGTAAACATTGTCCATTTGATGAAACTAATAAGAGCAAAACTGTGCAAACAAACTAAGCCATTTTAATTGGTCTCCTGGTCTCTTTGATTTTCTCAACATTCTCTCAACTAATAAATAGATTAAGATCTTAATTCTCATCAAAGACAAGTATTGAGTTATTAAAAAAAAAAAAAGAGTTGTATCAGATGCTCTTCATTTCAAAATTTGTTAATTTTGATAAAGCTCAATTACTTGCCAAGTTAATCGGATATCACCAGTGACTTTTTAGGAGAGACAATTATTTTCGGGGGAGATTATTCTCACCCTACAAATCTCCATCCCCATTCATTTAATCTCTTAACACCAAACCAATATGCTCATCCCATCTATTCTCACCCGATTAATGACTTTGCCCACCCCATTGTATATCTATTCAATTAGATTTAGTGATTCAGTTTACTCCGTCAATACCCTCTTCGGTCTCCACCAAATGATTCAACTCACCATCTGTTAACCCATAAATAAATAATAATAAAAAACAACGTTCAACCCCAAAATCTGCCTTCAAAAACATTGCTAGAAGGAGAAGAGTTGGTGTTGGTTTCGAGATCCTGCAGGAGAACCTTCTCTCATAGATTCCCTTTACCAGATCATTGCTAGAAGGAGAAGAATTCACGCATCCAAAACTAAGACTTTAAATAAGCTTACCGAACTATTAAAAAAATTACTTGTTAATGCTTGTAACTGGCTTCTGTCCTTAGTTAATTTTGACCTGCGCTTTTAAAGAAGAAAAGGACGCACCACTCAACTCTGCCTTCAAAAACATTAAGTGTTGAACCAAACAGAAAAGTAGGGAATTAGAGCCACCAACTCATTGGTTTAATATGGATATTGGATTGGATTGGATTGGTGTGTCATTCTTTCCTAATCAAAACTATCGATCAATACAAAAAATCAATAACCGGCAATATTATTTGATTATTATTTTGGTGCCGATGGTGGTGTGACAATTTTATGGTGGTAACGACGGTAGAGTCTACCGATGATAGATTGTGTGAAGTCTGGGTGATCTTAATTAATAATGGGATAGATACACAATGGAGGACATTTAATTATATAATGGATTTGGTAAAGATAGAGTAGACTCAGTAGTTTTACATTAGGAGATTTAATAGGGGTGATGATGGAAATTTGTGGGGCGAAAATAATCTCACCTTTATCAAGACCTAATAAACTTTACAGTTGTTCATTAAGCTTGACTATAATCGACAAAAGTTGAACTCAGAGAGCATCCGAATCCGTCTTGGTCCTTGGATAGGTGATGCCAAAGGATTGACATGAAATCCGGCTATATATAAGTACAAATGACTTATGCACGATAAGAACCTTGCTATATACATTCTAAATGAATATGACCTAGACACGATAAGAACCCGACATTGTATTACCAGTTGCCAGCCCTAAATACAACATAAATTTTGGTAGAACCAAATAGATCAGGTAAAGGATGTAAAACCAGAACCGATTGCGAACAAATTTGGTTGCTCGCTTTTTTCAACTTGGGTAATGAAATTCGCAATGAGTTCTGATATATCACCACAATTTAACCAAGTATGGCGGGTTAAAGTTCAACGCGAGAGCAATTGAACTGCTTGAAAATTCCAAACAGATAACGAGAACAACATACAAATCCAAAAGAACATTTGCGAGCTGGTCATATCTTTCATGGACAATTTGTCAACGCTATTAGATAGTATGATGATCCAATCTTCAGGACTCCTGAGTTAATGTTTTTAATTTTAGTCCATTAAGAACAAAACAAGAACAGCAAAGCCTTCAATCTCTCAAATCTAACCACAAGGACTCAGATATGGATCCATTAACAAGCACAATAGCATATAAACAGACCTAAAAAACAAAAATCCACAAGAAAAATAATTATCTTCATAGAACTTACAAACTTTTATAATAAACAATAACCAGTCCTCAAAGTTAAATTCAGCATAGTTAAGCTTCAACAAATAACTCATTAACAAAACCAAATCTAACCATCTCTTGCATAACTACAATACATCGAAGTTTAATCCCAATCAATAATCATGGCATAACATGATTCCCAAGCTTGAAATCAGGATATATCAGCATAGTCTATTAACCACCGAGCATTTCAGTACTTAGAGATAAGTTAAAGACTTCCATTTTGATTGGTCTGAGGGACTGGAAGAGCAAGGACAGGAGGTATTAGTTATCATATTTTTTGAATCAACCTGGATGAAGAAAAGGAAAATGAGGAGAATGGAAGGATTATTCACCCCTTTAAACCCCAAATTCTGTTTAAAAGAAAAAAGAGCTAGTAATACTTGTTTTATCCCTATTTATTACAATGTCATCTCCCATTTTGCTCTACTTTTTTGCATAATAAAACACTGTAATCTCTTTTCTATTCTTTTTTTTCTCCTTTCTTAAAGGACAGTCATCTCCTTTCCTTTCTTTTCTCTACTTAGTCATTCAAATGTGAGGGTTTATTATCATCATTTCCTTTTCTCCCATGTTATCGTCCCCTTTCCTTTCCTCCTAATGCTACCCTATCTTGCTTTCTTTCCCCTTGCATTTACCCAAACCAAGTGTTCTTAAAGGAAATTATGGCCTGTTTTTGAGAGGGATTTTTTTACAGTATCTGACAACCTTTTAAATTACACAACCTCTGAACTTTTCACGTTTAAACATGACGTAAATTTAGGATGCACGTAATCATGAGCAAATGATGCACATACTCAAATTTAGAGCATCAAGATAGTAACCCAATGACCTTCTCATCCAATGAAGTAATTTAGTGAAGAGATTACTTAATTAAGTTTAACAACCACAATGAATTAATTTAGTGGTGAATGATTTTAGTTTGAAGCATTTAATCCTGAGAACCAAATAGACCAATTTTTCAGATATTGGACATTTATTGATGACATTTATGGATATGCCAAGAGGTTGTTCACATTTTCCACTTCATGGGTTCGTCTATCAGGACATTCTGGGGCAAATTGTCTAGATCAATATGCAAGTAACTGCCATGATCTCTGTTTATGGGGGGGAGGAGGCACCTGAGATTCTATTACGCTCCCTCCAGTATCATATACCTTCGATACAGAACACAGGCTTAAGCAATCACATCCCATAAAACAAAATCAATGTCACAGGCACCACAAAAATCCCATACAAATATATATATATATATCAATGTCAACAACCTTATTTCCAACATATTCAACCATCTGTCAAATAGCACTTAATATCATCTAATTCTTATCCCCCACATCATCCAGGTCACGTTCCTCCACAATTAAACAACAAACACATACATCAAATTGAAAAACAGACACATACAAAATACACACATCTAATTGAACAGACGGGCGCAACACTGAAATGGAGAGAGAAAGTGAACATCACTAGGCAAGTTGACGGTATTCTCCACGGCTTATATCGGGGTCAACGCACAGAATCGCATAGAGAGCGTAGATGATTCCAGGAATGTATCCCAAAATTGTCAACACCAAGCATAAAAAGAACTCAACCTGCAAATCAAATAATTCAAAATAGTATGTGCATGTAAAAAATGATCAATTCTTATATATAAATCGATCTCTAAACGCATCTATAGATAAAGAGAGAGAAATTGTGATTTTAGGACTTACAGTGCAGCAACCGTGTCTGAGGCAAACACCAACAGGAGGAAGCAAGATTGCAAGTATGATTTCGCAGCAGATTAAGCATGTTGATGCCATTGCTAGTGTGTGTGTGCGCGCGCGAGAGAGAGAGAGAGAGAGGAGTCTTAATTGGGGAAGAAAATAAGAGAGCTGATAACGAAGTCGTTTTGGGTTTGACTGATTAGGAGAGTGGATTGGGACCATTGGGTTTAGGGGTGTTCATCGGCCGGGTTGGCCAACGGATCTTGTTATCGGGTTTAAAAATAGGTCCAAAACCTCGTAGTCTAATAATTGATCCGCTCGAAGTCGAGCCGGAGCCCAATATATTTCAAAAGAGGGTTTGGGCCTGTTCTCAAACCCATTATCCGCACAAACCTCAGCCCATGAGCCAACTAGCGAAAACCTATTAAAACCTGACCAAAGAGTCTGCCAACCCAGCCCAGCCCATCTGTCATTCCATCCATTTGTTTGAAAAAAAAGTTGATCATTGAAATTTTAAAAATTTGGTAGCAATATATGTCTCTACTTTATTTAAATAAAATTATTCGTTATTTATTTTTTATTCATTTTAACTCTATTTTTAATTTAAAAATATAATTTATAAAAATATTAAGTTGAAATTTTTTTTTAAATTTTTTTTATATATATTAAAAAAAGCTCGTCCAACGAGTGGCGGAATAGGTTGTGAGTAACTTACCCTTATACGAAACCCAGTCTAACTTGTCAAATAACTCATCTGGGTAAGGACATGGTCCTAACCTATCCAAGCTCCGCCCCAAAAAGAAAAATGGTAGGCCTAATCTGACCCACCTTGTGGACACCCATAACTAGGATATTGTAGTCTTAGCAGTAAGGTTGTTATAATTTTTTTTAAAAAAATTATAATATAATGTATTTTATATTGTGTCAAGTTCATTCATATATAAAATATGTTCAAAACAATTATTTTATATTTAATTGGATTGATATGGAATTATTTATTGTAAGGCTCATATTTGTGCCATCTCAATTCGTTAACTAAATCAGGCATAGATTTTTTATTATTTTTATTGGGCATGTCTAGAATTATAGGGTCTATTTAATGGTGAGCAATTAGGCTTTAACGTATTTTTTTTTTAACTTATTGACCACCATGCCTTTTCCAAATGGTAGATTATAGAAAGCCTCCTTGAAGTATTTTTTCATGCTTTTTCGGGTGTTTTTTCTTATCTTTTTGAGTAAATTCTATCTTTATTTTCTTTGAAGTGCCCTCTTTTCTACCTTTAGTGTGTGAATTGATTATAATTCATTGTGATGTATGAACCATCTGTATTTGTGATGTATTCATATATGATAATCTATGAAGTACAGATATATCGTTGAGATTGACGTATCCTTATTGGATATTCAAAGATACGTATCAGATACACCTTCTATGTATCCAATAATAATTAAATATTATGATACTTCACGGATACTTTTGTAGTCGAGTAACATATATAATTTTTTAGTTGAACTTTTAACATCTCTTTTCAAATTCAAATACCATACAATATATTAACAAAAAATTCATATTACTTCAAAGGCACATGAGTGTTTTGTAAGTATTATCTACAATTACATTTTAAAAGAGTATAAAATAAAGGTATTACATTATAATTTTAGCAAAAAATTACTTTTAAATACTAGGTAAGTATTAGTTTTGATTCCTTTAATTAGTCACTTCACTTTGTGAATATATCACAAACAACACGATCTATATATTCTTGAAACTAAAAAGAATTACTAATTTTTCTTATTATATGTTAAAGAACTACCAAAATATATAAGTATTAAGTTGGTTAAAACTAATAAAAATATTAAATATATTTTATTATAGTCATATCTTGATCGTACTCGTATCCTACTTTTTTAGATTTTATCGTATCACCGTATCCATATCGTATCATACCCGTATCCTGTATCTGTATTTGTGCTTCATAGATGATAATGATGATATTAGAGTTTTTCATTAGAACTGAAAATAAAGTTGATGTGTTATTAAACTTTATAAAAATGGACAATTTTTGAGTTAAGCCTGGTTAGCTCAAGAGAAATAAAAATTATAGGGTGTGTTTGGGTAGTGGGTTTCGATAGGATAGGATATCTTTTTTTATTTCTTAATTCATCCAACCCAAACTGACTCATTCACTTAAAATCCAAACATTTGTTTGGGAAACAAATTTGTAATTGTGTGAGCCCCATAAATTACACCAAATATTTTGTAGTAGTTTATTATTCTACCCATGATTCTATGCAATCCAATCCAATCATATCCTATGTTTGGATTGGTGGCCTATCATAACAAAATTAAACATAATAAAATATATACATTAAAATATTAATATTGCTTTTTTAGTAGCAAAGTGAATAATTGATATAACAAAAGACCATGTATATTAGATCCAAACAATTGAATATAAAATCCAAGTATGTAGTAACGTGTTGCTAGCAACACTAGATTCAATCAATTTCAAAGAGGTCTACTAACATACATTAATACATAATAGTTACGTATTAAACATATGTAATTGTAAAAAATGTTGCATTATACAAAAATACACAAAAACATAAGGCAACATAGGTAATATTTCTCAACAATAACAAGTGAAATTAATGTGGCCCTATATAATACATAACACAATGCGGCAACATTACACACTAGCATACACGGTCAACTTAAATGCACCCCGACAAACATTCAAATTTTTTGTTACATGACAACCGACGAGATCAATTTTCATCAATAACTATAACATTCACTTCCGTCCTCCTCAAATTTACCATTGAACTTGATCCAACACTGCTATCAATGTGTTGTTGGCTTGAGATTGGTACATCGTTCTTGAAAATAACTTCTAACAATGGAAAGTTTGGACAAGGATCCAAACAATAGTAACACGCAAAATAATCATCCTACAATAGTTTGAAGTGAAAATATAGAACCGTAGCATTACCAACATATATGAATAATAATTCATTTTGAATCGACACGAACGTCTAACCAATTAATTTAAATAACTTACTTGTATGGAATCTAGGTCACCAGGCATTGGTCTTTCAACTACACAAGTAGTCTGTGTGTCCTAATCAAACATGCCACTATTTAACATCTCAGCAATGGTATTATACTGGCACTCCCAAAATATGATTACCCTCAACATCTCACTCTTAGAAAGATGAAACATTGGCATCCTCCTTCACAAATGTGTAAACAGTATATCAAGTAATCTTTTTGAATACCTGCCTACTACAGGTAATTTCTTGCAATGCTTAAAATCAACTAATAAGTCAAGCATCACATTAACTTTATTCTCAGTAATGTCTGGAAGCTCCATTGTTAACTAATACCACAATAATAAAAAAAACTATATATTTTCAAAGTCATCAACAATTATCATACATACATAACAAATAGTCATATGGATAGTAAAATAGAGAAGTTCTTAAAGAAGTTACAAAGTCATGCAAAAGTCTTCAACAACCTAGATATGATCAACATACATAATTCATCCAAATCTACCCAAGAAGAAGTAGATGATATGGGTGACCACCATACCCAAAACCAATACAACCAACATACTTTACACATGTAACGAACTGACAATCGTGGAATGGTATAGGTGCTGATATAGTAATGTCCATTGTATCTCTAGGAAGTTGATTTCCCAATGTTGGTTGATTCGGAGGGACATGAACGTCATTCAAAGGTTGCACCTCTGTTGTACCATCATCTTGTTCAATATACATGCGCAAAGCATTTTTGCATCGCTATACAGGTCATATGATTTGTACAATGCACCAGGGAATGCATTAACTTGCATATGACACTCCGTCCATGTCCTATAAACACCAACTTGTCGTCCAACAAAGACAACATAGAAGCGTTCTCGCCTGCCCATTACAAAGTTAACTGAAAATCAAATTGTCACATGATCATAATAAGAGAACAACATTATAGAAAAATATTAAAGAAAAACATCTAATTAATAAGTCAAACATTCAAAACATCCACATAATAAATAAGTTGCGAAAGGAAATGTGACACATGGGTCAACCAAATGTTTAGTTGACAAGCAAGGCACAAATTACTTTACATACGACCCTAATAAACATCTAAATTAGGCCACAATATGCTATCAACCTAGAGTGCTCTCTCTTCCATGGGCAAGCTAAAGAAAATGTCAACTTTTATGTTGTTTGAAACAATTTTGTATGCTGCCTCGTGGCAGTGTGACATTGTTAGGCCTTCTAGTTTTGACAACTTTGCAAGGATGGCATGTCTACTTGTAGATGCATCTTGCTCGTAGCCTAATCTCTGTGCAATACTTGCTAGTTGGTTCTTACTTGAAATAACGTAATCACCAAATACCTTACATATTTGGGAAAGACTTGTAGCCATTGAATCGCTTAGAGTGGTAGCTTTTCTTTTTTTGGATTACATGTATGTGGGTGACATTCACCTCCTCCCTGCCCTGAGTTACACTTTGAGAGTAGCTAACATTATCCATTCCCTCGGTTGGTTGAGCCTCTACATTGGCATCCTTAGGAACATCCCTAACTACTGAATTATCATCGATCATTTCCTCAAGTCCTTGGGCAAACTCTCCTGTTGTCCTATCTTTCCCAAAGATAAGCACCCAATCATCATACAATGGCCATGATCTACCACGCATCCGCTTTGCATTCTTGTTTTTCTACATTGTCATTTGTAAAATTACTAGGGCATAATATAAACAAGTAATATTGGTTTAATATTATTAATGGATGCAAGGGATTAATAAGACCTTCAGGTACTCCATCCAAATATCTTTACCATATACATCCACTTTCTTGTCACAATCATTCCATCCAAAACCGGATATGCTTAGCACTGAAAACAATGAATTGTACTGCTTTTTCCAAGCTTTGATTTTCGACTCAATATGTGGTGATGCCTGATGGTCAGTCGCTAGGAATGTATCCTTTAAGTTGCTCTCTAATGTTTGAAGATAACCCAGATGAAACATGCCATTCTGGCACTTCCATCCATTCACACAAAGTTCTTTTAATGCTTGAATGAGACTACCTTCCTCTGCGGCAGTTCATGTTCGTCGTGGTCCATGCTCTACTTGCCTGCTGGCACCAACACTTGACATGACCTACTTACATTTGCACATGCCACATACCATTAACTTACTGGCAAAAATATGAATATATATGACTTGGCTAAGTAATCATAAGAAAAAAAAAATAGTGCCCATAAATTCGACACATTAACTACATACAACTTAATTTGTCCGTTAGTCATTATGTGTTAAAGCATTTAGCCACCCCTACTTTCATGTCATTCATTGTGCATATTTTTTGCTAGTTGGTTTCTAAACACAGTTCATTTAGTAGATGTGTCGACCATCTCGATGACATCCGGTTCTATTTCACCATGACCATCGATCGAACCATCTTCTGGCAACTCATCTGTCAATGGGTCAAACACCATTTCATTTCTAACCAAATTATGCAACAAGCAATATTCAGCAATGATTCAATTGTGTGTGCGTACGAGGTAGTGGCAAGGAGTCCTTAGAATTTCTCAGCGATTTTTGAGTAAGGCAAAACAACATTCTATAACATTCCTAGCCATCGAATGCCTAAGGTTGAAGAGTTCCTCAGCATTAAGAGGTGCAACTACCCTTTCGGCCCACTATTGCATATGGTATCTTTGGCCCCTAAATGGAGCTAGGAACCTTTCTCCGTTTGTGTAACCGACATCCACTAGGTAGTAGGTGTCTATGTACAAATTGTGGTTTCGTTAGAACATTGCTAATAACTGTCAGAGAAATGAGGTTAGTGGTTATATATAACTTATCCCAAGCCACTTTCAATCCATTCCTCCTCATTACCGCATCTCGTAGTATCCTAGAATCAGCAACTGATCCTTCTCAACTAGGCAATATATAAATGAATTTCATATCTTGGGAGCACACACCAAGGATATTTGTCAAAATGTCAGCGTGTCTACTCCTATATCTTGCTTGGTGAAGCATAGGTACCCTTGCTCTAATGTGTGTGTCATCTAGCGCTACTACACAATTCTACAACTCAAACATAATGAAACACATTTAATTTTGTTACCATTCATCCATATTCTATCCAATCACATATGAAACAATTGTAAAGTTTCGTTACCTTAAACCAACACTACTTGTTATCTGTATAGTCCTCAGTTATAGGGTCGGGTCTCTTCAATAGTAGACGATGCAACTTAATAACTGACTTTGACACAACATTGAAATGCCTGCTTACAGTTTTGCTAGATCTAAGAAAGTTGAACTTTATTGGCCTATTCTTCACATCATAACCCAATATATTTAGGAACATAGCCACCATTTCTTCAATGTTCCCCCAAATTACAAAGAAAGTGAAAAGTTTGTCTATCCATGCTTAGTTGTTCTATGCAATTAATGTCACTCTCACCAATTAGACAGTGCAAGTGTTCAACTTGCAATCGATTTCTAGACAATGACCTTAATGGTTGTGGTTTTGATTGTCTCTCCCTTTCCCATGACACTACTATAAGGACCACAAACAAATAAAACATTACTACCATCTCTCTTCTTGTCCTATCCAACACAACAATCAATCCAACGATGTCATCAATACGGTTTGACATTTTATCACCTGAACGCCCTTGCATTTTCGTGTACAATAGTGACGTCAATATTAAATGTAGTATGAATGTAACACAATTTAAGCAAAGCAAAATAAACCATCAATCCTCATCTACCAATTCACAATGACGAGAGAGAGAGAGAGAGAGAGAGAGAGAGAGAGATATATAACTTTGTTTATCATTATAATATCTATACAATACTTCTTTGAACAGAATGATTATTTTCCAAATGATACCAAACCGCTTCAATTTCCTTTCATTACTCTAACTAAAACTACAATGTGAGGAAAGCCACTACTTTCTGCCAATTTTTTATAAGCTAAGTTGCATGTAACATTTTTTTGGAAATAATGACATATACATGTAACTTTTTTTCGGAAATAATGACTTTGACATCAAAGAATCAAAGTTATGGTATTCGAAGTGCTGTTACTTAATCCATTTTTATAACATTAATAATATAGGTTGGTGTCTAAATTTCATCACAAAACTTCAGCTTTATCTCCGGACATTACAAGAAGATTGTTGATTAATGTACGATCTCAAAAACAATCAAACATTCATAAACAATCAAACATGTAATTTGAGCATCACTCACAGTCAAAGTAACCAATTAAACACTCATACACACACTGCTACCATATTTGAAGCATGCCCATAAAAATAGAGACAACAAAAGATGGTGTGTGAGAATGCTCTTTTTCTTCCTCCTCTCTCTCCTGGTACTCTCTCTCTCTCTGTGGAATTTTCATATGTATAATTGTATACAAAGCTTCTTTTTTCAAAGCTGGATGGATTTTGATTAATATGAGTAAGCGACTATACTCTCTCTTATAAGAATTGTTTGAGTTTTTTCTTTTTTGGGTCAATAGATTTGTTGGAGGTTAATGCCTACTTGTTCATGTATTACAAGATTTCTATTCTCTATCTCATTTGGGTTAATCCTCCTTTCTAGCCTATTTCTCTCTCTCTCTCTCTCTCTCTCTCTATATATATATATATATATATATATAAATATAATAAAGTAGCTAGATTTTTTTGTCTTTAATTTTTTACGGCTCAGATCACTTGAAAAAATATTGATCCGACGGTTCTAATATGAAATTTTCTCTCCCTCCAATGTTTTGAGCAAGACTTTCATTCCTTCCACAATTCTAAGACTCTTATCTCTCTTATAACTCTTTATCTCACACTACACATTAATTAGGTCGTTAATTATAATTCTAGTTAAATATTAGTTTTAAAATTTTCAAATAAACAAATAGATCTTAAATACAGATTATTTGCATCAAAACGAGTCAAATAATTATAATATAGGTCATATTTTATATTGAAATAAAAATACTATAATATTCAAATGGTATAATAGGCAAATAATATATATGTAATTTGTTATATCTATGTACTAAGGGAGTGAGCATTATTTGTCTTCAACTTTTGCTGGCTCAGATTGTTTTAAGATTATTGAACAAACGATCGAAATTCTTCCTCCAAATTTTATTTTACTTGATTATCGGTTCGTAGTGATTATGATTAGGATTCAAATTGAGTTGAATTTAATTGTCGAGTATAAGGTATATATTTTTACTTAAAGTTAACTTTACTTGAATTTTACGAGTATTTAAGTTGAAGTCAAATTGAAATTGATTGTAAAAGTATAAAGAATAACCAAATTAAAAAAAAAAAAAAAAGTTATGGCATCACAGTGAACTGGAATATATTAGAATTAATTTGTAGGTTTAAGATAGAAGTGTTAATTGATTCAAACTTAAATGCAATTCTTAGTTTGACGTAATTATGATTAAGATTCGAATTGAGCTAAATTTAATTGTCGAGTATAAAGTATACATTTTTGCTTAAACTTATAAGGTGGGGTTATTCTCACCCCCATTTAATTTCTCATTATCAAACTACTCAGTACACACTTTTTGTACATACTACATGCTATATACACCTCTATTAAATAGGAAAGAATGAAACAAGGAAAAAAAAGAAAGAAAGAAGCAAATCGAAACAAGAAGGGAAAAAAATCAAGTAAAAATTAAAAGAACAAACAAAACTACAAAAAACAAAACCACAAGACGCAAAATCTGACATAAAAAAACGTATCAAGCACAAACACAAAATCGAATAAGAAAAAAAAATAACAAGCATAGATGCAAAACCTAAACATGATTAAAAAATAACAAATAATTTAAAAGTATACATATATATACACACATATAAATTTTAAATAAAAATTTATTAAACTTGACAAAGATATCAAAATATACCGAAAATAATGAAAATTCATACAACAACCAGGAAATCAAATATAAAACTAAATTGATAAATAATACTAACTTGTATCTCAATGAAAAAATTTATATTAAAAAAATATATTTTTGTGAGTGCATGAGATGAAATAGATAATTAAACCCTAATTATGAGAAAATATAAGGTGAGTTTACTTATTAAATGGAGTATATATAGCATGATGTGGACTTAGTTACTAATAGGGTGGATATAGAAGGGGTGAAGTTAATAGTTTGATAATAGAAAATTAAATAGGGTGGGAATGGAGATTTGTGGGGTGGGAATAGCCCCACCCAATCTTAAATTCAATTGAATTTTGCAAATATTTAAGTTGATATCAAATGAAAACTAATTTTAATTTCTCAACAAAATTTTTTTACATTTACAAGAATTCACGTGAAACTTTTGGATGTTTTTCTCACAAAAATTACACGAACTCACATTGAAAAAATGATGCAGAGATAATATTATGTACTTTATGTAAAAACTTGCAAAAAAACAAATAGTTATGTTTTTTTGAAATTTGAGATAAAGTTTATTAAAATGTTAAAATTGTAGATGTTTGATCAATAATAATTATATTTTCTCAGATTTTTGAATTAATATGTTATAGTAGTTATAGCGTGACTTTCATTATATAAAAGTTTTATTATATTTATTCTTTGTACAGGTTGAACAACATCAATTTGATCGTTGTATTATTGAAATTATATCATATATTGTCTTTATTTATAAAAAAATATTTACAATTTTTTATGAGTAACGCCGTGTCTTTAGGCATGGGTAATTACTAATATATATATATATATACAAAATAGCTGAATCCATAAGTTGGTTCTAACCTTTGTTTGGTTGCAAGGTAAATGGAGAAAAAGAGAAGAAATTTTGGATTTTTGTGAATTTTGTTTCTGGAAAATGAAAAATTTTCCTCTCTTAAACTTAACATTGAAAAGACTATTCTTTTTTATATTTGTTTTCCTTTTTTCTCAGATTCCTCCCTACCAGCAACAGTCAAATGACAGATTTGTGTTATTTAATATTACATTGTTTATTTTTTGAGTGACTGAAGGAGATCTGTTTGTCGGAGATAGATCCAGACCTATTCCTCAGAGATCTGTTTGTCAAACATAGATCCAAATTTGTTCATTAAACAGAGGGTGAAACAAAAGCAGATCTGGATCTTTCGGTGAACCAACAAGGTGTGTTCTTTGTTCTGTCCATAGAGAGAGAGAGAGAGAGAGAAAGAGACCAAGAAACTTACCTCAATCCAGCAATGTCGTCTTCTTCGCAGACTCTGTGAAGAAGCTCTCAACCACAGGATGTAGAAAGTCGCAGGACCTCAATAAATGTCGTCTTCTTCGTCGCCTCTGTGCAACAA